AAAATATAAGCAATAAACAACACTACAAGTTACCTGTAGTAGTGTTGTTGATCCACTAAAATAGTATATCCCCCATCTACAATCTTAGATAAGGAACCATACAAGAATGCAAGTGCTGTTGCACCCCATGCATACTTTTCTGCCTCATCGAGATCTCCGAACAGTTGCAGGTAACTTGTCAGTGTCGAATCTTGAGATGTATCAGCAAATATAGTTGTGCCGACTAAATACAATAGATAAGCTCTAGTGTGTTGAAGCAATTTTAATTTGGTAGGTTTTTTCGGTAGTTGCTCAAATTTTGCCCTCAACCGAATATGTTTAAGTCGGTTCAACTTATCACCAATATGGTAATTTCCCAAAAACTCTATGATGAAAGCCTTGTAGTCTTTAGGTCTTATGCCTGTTACAGGCTTGCCTATCACAAATATCCGTAATATGTGCCACACATCGTACAGAGTTGGAGTCATCTCACCAACAGTTAACCGTGAGGTATTAGTTACCTTGCACCACTTTCCAATAAAGGCCCTCAGTAAACTGCAATCAATATGTGTAACCCCTATGTCTTTCAAGGAGATCAAATTGCTTTTTTCAATCAAAGCTACCTGCCGTGGATCCAGCTCCCATTTTCCCAAGGTCTTAGTTGATTCATTAATACGAATGTTGTTTTTCTTCTAAAATGGATTCAATAAAATATGTCAATATTTATTAATAATTTAATAATTGTCTAATTAATGTAAATCATGAACTAAAGTAAATTGAGTATCATACATTTTCCCTTTGATCGAAGGAAGTGGATGCGCTCCTTGTTCTACTTGACGGTTCTGGGTCTTGCATCACTATTATCTATTTATATTATCAGAGTTTACATGTGCATAACATATGAATTGGCAAAGAGAAATTATGCTTCTTTAACAAAAAATAAATACAATTACAAGTAAAAAGGAAATGTAAATAAAGTATGCTTCTTTAACCAAAATAAATACAACTACAAGTAAAATAACAGCAATCACATCAAAAAGAAAAGGAAATGTAAATAAAGTACGTTTCTTTAACCAAAATGAACACAACTACGAGTACAATAACAACAACCAAATCAAAAAGAAAAGAAAATGTAAATAAAGTATGCTTCTTTAACCAAAATGAACACAACTATAAGTACAATTACAACAATCAACTTAAAAAGAAAAGAAAATATAAATAAAGTTTATGCCTTCAAGTGTGTGCTTTACAAGTTGCCCTGTTATGACCAGTTCCTTTGCACTGCTTACAGTGAATATGTCGCACTAGTACTTCATGTGACTCGATGCGCTTCTTTTTAAGTCGGCTAGGGGGACGTCTTGAGTGAGGTAGAAGTACTTTTACTCCCTCTAAATGAAGTTGTCCACGTAAACCATGCACAGACAAGTCGATTAAGGTAATTGGCATGATAGCTACGGAATATGTTTCACGAAATTTCGCAATTGTGAAATATTCTTGACAATAGTCCCTATTCATTACTTGAAGGGCTTTACAAGCATGATTGCAAGGCAAACATGTTATTTGTCAACCCCGACATTCATATTCTCGTGTAATAATATTTACCTTGTAATTTATGCGATCACCCCTAGCTTCATAAACTGCTCCATTTGTTGCCACAGTGACTCTCACGGAAATGGATTGTTTTATGACATTTTTTAGTTCGTTTTGTGCTTTTGGGGTAAGTGTTGTAGTCCAAGTTTTAGATTTCAAGCTGCGAGTGGCCATTAATTCCATGATTTGTCTTCTAATCAAGTCAACGCATTGGAGAATTGGCATATCTCGTGCTTCTAGAATCCACTTATTATATAACTCAGCCACATTAGTTGTTACTTGGTCATATCGATTACCCTTGAACTGTGATGTGGCTCAACGGTTTGGTGAGGCTTCTATGAACCACTAGAATGCGTCCTCAAAAAGTGATCTAATTTCTATCATCTTATCAAAATACTCTAGCTGCATATATGCTCTACATGCACTGATAAAGGTACATACAATTTCTTCTTAACATCATTAGGTATGTGTTTTGCTTCTTTCTTGAAATTCTCCATTAAATGACGCTCATAGAAGGCATGATGGGCATTATGAAAGACTTGACACACAATATCAATTAGATTAAGGTGTCTATCTGATAAAAAAGTAATTTCACGATCCGTCCCAATAGCAATCTTTAACGATTCCATAAACCATAACCAGTTATTTGTATGCAACATGAAACATTTTCCTTCCCCATCGAGTGAGTTGGCAGCAAGTAGAGTCCTAAGGTACCGTGCCTTCAATGATGTCCTATCGAAAAATATAAGTGGACGACATCCATTTTTGAAGCCATGTATTGACCTATAAAAACTTAAGAACAATCGACGAAATCTATCACCTGACCATACTTGTCCTGTTACATAACTACCAGGATTTGTCTCTATCACACGATTTGCATATGCTGGTAATTGGTTGTATGCCTCTTCTTGCGAACCATGTGTGTCTTTTATGACCGTTTCTTTTCCTCGCCAAGCCTTCCAATAGGGTAATTCTAACCCATAATCTCGAGACAAATCACTCATGATTTCTCAAGCCTTGTAATGTGCAGTGTCACTTAATTTATCTTTGATTAATGATGCAACAAATTTTTGTGAAGCTCTTCTCTGTACATCACTGCTTGTCTCAATATTGCATGAGTGATCTCTTATCCATGTTTTGATTATGAAAACATTCGTCTTGCCAAGCTTCCCAGTATACATCTCCCATTTGCATCCTTCACCCTTGCATTTTGCCCTTATGCGATACCCTTCATTTTTAAGTGAAATGGTTTGCTATAACAAACTTGCTAAGGGCTTCTAGAATATCTTCTAAAAATCTGCCATATCCTCAAAAGTGCATTCTCCCATGTACTAAGCAACTTTGGTGCAATGCTTTGATCGGAAACTCAGACTAAAACTTTAGGGGATTGTGGGGGTTTGACATCTTTGATTGTCATAGTATTATGTGAAATACTTCCATCCCTACGTTTATTTCCATCAAACATATAGACAAACACTTAATTCTCACCTTCATGGACGTTCAACATCCTAATAATATCGTCATCATTGTATAGGTTCACAATAAATATTTTATTTCTCGGGACAAAGTATCTTAAAGATATTAAGTGGATGTCAAATTTGAAGCGTTCTGCTACATATTTTCGTATGTCATCTAACCTAGTACTACTCTCAATCATAAGTGTACATGCATTATCACAAATATAATCCAAAATCCCATCGATACTTGTTCGGAGTTCTCCATCATAAATACAATAACCCAATCTGTTATCACCAATTTTCTTTTGTCCTGCACAATATTTGTAAAAATTTACACTCTATACATTGCATTACAACATCTTAAAAATAGCCTTAAACTTGTTCGGAGTTTAAGGCTATCGATACTTGTTCGGAGTTCTCCATCATAAATACAATAACCCAATCTGTTATCACCAATTTTCTTTTGTCCTGCACAATATTTGTAAAAATTTACACTCTATACATTGCATTACAACATCTTAAAAATAGCCTTAAACTTGCGGAAGTTTAGCAATCTATTAGATTTTTTTTCAAAGAACTACAATTAAATTTTAACAGGAGGTATGCATATTATTGGGGGTATATAACCTACAAATAACAAGAACTACACATAATTATTTTTTAATGAACTAAAGTTAACAAGAATAATATGATGGATTATTCATATCCTAATTGACAACAAAACCAACACAATTCTAGCCAGTAGAGAATAAAGAATCTCTCTAATTTTATCTTTTTTTCATTGTTTTTTTGTAAAAATGACAACTCTATAATCCCAACCTTCTCTCTGTAACGGGCTAGTCAATTTTTTGTGCAACTAACTTCACAATGAGTCCCATCTTTCAATTTTTTATACAAAAGTAAACA